ATACAGTGAGCCAAATACAGAGAGCAATATATATATACTCACTCGACGGCAAAAAGGGGGTTCGATTCGTATTCTTTCCTTTGTAACGGGTACCAAACCCCGATTTGATCACATTTAGCTTGCTTGGGTGAGAAATTGAGCAAGGAGTAAATAAGCTAACCCAGATCGCTATTCTAAATCCCACCGATGAGATGTTAGTTGCCTCCTTAAGCAGTTGTATATATACATGACTGAGAATTAACCCTAAAAATCCAGAGAACCATAAAAGATGGTTGGGCAACGACGGCGATGAGGTTTGGGGTTAACGTCGAGATTGATCTCGCTGTGGCGGCAACAATGCTATGATGCTGGTCTGGTGGAGACGGCGTGATAATGTTGGTTTGGGGTTAATGTCGAGATTGATCTGGACGATGGTGACGAGATTTGGGAAATCGTGCTTGCTGATCGCATAGTTGGGATTGGATTCGCGTTGTGCACGAAGGCATTAGAGGGACGATTAGGGCTTTGATTTGGTCCTTTTTCGGTACACACAGGTTAGCTCTTCTATATCAAGCTTTTGCTCAATCTTCTACGGTTTGGATCATTTAAGCTCTGTACTCATCTTCGGTTGGGTTGCTAAAGCATCTGATCATCAATGGAGCTCACTCTCTGTCGGTGTGTGTGTGTATATATATATATATATATATTCAAGCAATGGACACCAATCTTCGAACTCGCCGGAGCTGTTGGGTCTTCAATAGCGTGGCTTCAGTGTCTTCAATGGTATGCATCAGTTTGACCTTTAATGGAGCTCACTGTTGGTTCGTCTCTGAAGCTCACTGGTTTTGGGTCTTCAATGGAGTTGCTCAGAACACGCCGGATTAAATGGGCGTTGCCGCTCGGAGCTCGCCGGTTTTAATGGACGCTCCTGTTTTGTCTCTGACGGTGACATTTTGGCCTCGCCGACGACCTGAATTTTGCTGGCCCGTGGTTCAGTTTGAGATGGGCAACGTAGTGGTGGTGGTAGGAGGTTGAGTGATGGTTGCGATTTGAGGGTAAGGTGGGTGGTGGCGATTTTTGGGGGTGGTTTGGTGGGAGGAGGGGCCGTGGTTGGGGCAGTAAGAGGAGGAATAGAGGGAACGGATAGAGGAGAGAGAAAATAGGATTGGAGGAAGAGAAAAGAAAAGGTGTCATAGGCAAAATGGTCCTTTGTTATTTTCAAATATTTTAAACTTTTTTTACAATATAATAATAAGGGTAGTTGAGTAAATTCATCTAAAAAACCCTCAAATTTGTCATAGGGGAGGTCTTTGCAAAAAAGAGGCAAACCTTTGGTTTACTTGCAATTACATCAAACCTCGGGGGAGGTCATTGTAGTTTGCCCTTTATTTTATTTTTCTCTCTAGAAAAGTTAGAGATTAGAATGAGAAGAAAAGAGAACAGTGGAGGCACCAAAAACACATCTCAACATCTAGACACTCTCTCTCTCTAGAATTCAACAAAGAAGAAGAGGAAGAAGATGGAGCCATGTTTGGGGATTGCCCTCGAGGGTTCCAAGATCACACCCACCTCTCCCATGATTAGCTAGACTTCTCCTTGGGGCTTGGATGAGCCCCAAGTTTGTAATCTAGACCTCTTATCTCTTTCATACTTTTTAGGGAATAATATCTTGTTATTAGTGTTTTAGCCTTGTAAATTTAATGAATCTTGGGTTCTCCTTCGATTTTTATGGATTAATTCTTTCTATTGATTCTCTATGTGATTACATGTTGTCTTATGTGTGATTATTTGGGAATTGATCTCTACACTAATTTTTATATATTAATTACATGTCTATGTGTGGTTCATTGAGAATCTAGTGATGGCTAAACATGGTTTTTATTAGATGGGTTTGTCAATTAATTTGATAGATTATTCTTATACTTGATGGGTTGTTCTACAATTTAATTCATGCTTGTAGGTAGGTAGACAATCTATACTTGATTTGATATTACAAACCTTATTATTGCAAATTCCATGATTCTCTCGATTAATGTGTGCTACAATTGTGACTAGTTTGATGGGTCATGCTTAGAATTGATGGGTTGTTCTACACTTAGTTTTGTCGATTAGGTAGGCAATTCATTATTGAATTTGATGGTCCATGCTTAATATTGCAATTGGTAATCGCATTTTGTTCACAAGAAGGTTTTCCCCAAATTAGTTGAAAGTGTGTGGTTTGGTGAACAAGCTTGGTGGCAATTCCAATGGACCCAAGACCTCACTTCTCATCTCTTAAATCCCTAACTCAACTTATTTTATTTTAATTGCATTTTAATTTCCTTGCATCTTAGTTTAATCAACCAATCTCTCTCTTTGCAATCAATTGGTACATTAGAGTCGAATTTAAATTCCAACACGTATAATCTTTGTGGAAGATCCCTATTCGCTATGCTTCATTAGTTGTAATAGTGGTTTTATAAATGTAAATTTGACTAGAAAAGCTTCATAAACCACATTCATATTTTGACCTTGCGAAGCGACCTCTCGCATTACAAAGTTCGTTTTCTAAACACTTAGAAAAGGGCTCGTCAATGAGGTTTATAAATAGTTCTTTGCTCAAACTTGGGAGTCAACCTTCAACCAGTCCAAAATCTAAGCTCCAAGAAATCATTGATGACTTAAAGCAACTCTCTCCACATGAAACTGATGGCAGTTATTCATCTACGATGCTAAATCAATGAGAATATAGATCTCAAATTCAATTTCTAGGAGTTCCCGATCTATCTCCATCTCCTTCGCATACTTTTGTTCCTTCTGGATTCCACCCAAATCCCCGTAAACCAAATATTCAAGGTTCCGCCTAATAGGACATGCACTCCACAACCTTACATGTAGAAGATTTCTATTGTTCCCCTCAAAAAGAATCTACCTATTTAGAAAGTATAAAAACTCGTACGAATTTTGATAGAAGTTTCAAGGTCAAGACACCAGAATTCCATGGGAGATATTATCTAGATGCTTACCTAGACTGGGATGCTGACGGTGACGGTCACATTCTATAGATGGCATCAATCTATCAGAGCCACTGAAAGCCTAATTTGCTACCACAGAACTCAAAGGTGCTGTACTTCTTTGGTGGAGGTGAAATGAAAATATCCAACAACAACTAGGTTAGATTCCAATTATTTTCTGGGGTGTCCTGAAAATACCATGCATAGGAAGTAAGTTCCAACAGAATAAATGAAGCACCTTGCAAAACAATTTCATCAAATTCAACAAGGACAGAGCGTGGTTGAAATGCAGATTTGGAGAAAGAAGTGTGCTGCGAGAAAGGATAAAATTATAAATGATTACATTTGTTACACGTTAAAGAATTAACCAATGGAAATAAAAATGAGAGTAAATCAACTAAGATAGATGGTTCGTGCATAGAAAACACCAATAAGTGCATCAATAGGAAGTTATTTGAGCCACATTGAAGATAAAGATAGATGAAGGGAAAACCAAAATTAGCATGTGTTGAGATAGTAAAGAAATATATTGGAGAGTTTCATTTAACTTAAGTTATGACATTATATAGAATAGAATGACCAAACATGATTATTGTAATTGACACCCAATAATTGGGATAACTCTTTATTGAGTTGAGTTGATTTCACATGGTTTCTTGATTGTCACGTTATAGTCATCTATTAGATTGTCACCAAGATTTCAATGGGTTGTCACCAAATTATCAATGGAACTTGTAACATGCTAGGTTGTGTCCTAATTATCAATGGGTTGACACCTACTTGTAAACTCCTTGGCTACGCTACATATATAGTGTTGTAGTGTTTCATTGTAAGTTGTTAGTGTGTTGGATTTAGGGCTGTAATGTCATTTTAAGCTGATATGGTATATAATTGATGCCGATCATTATCATCCTTACTTTCATCCCATATGAATGAGATCAGCCACATAAATTCTTGTTCCCCATTCTTTTTAAAAGGAATTTTTCTTGTTATATTTGATCGGTGTGGGAGTTTTAATTTTCTCAATTGGAGTAACCAATTGTGTAATTCCTATAGGTACCTAGGAGAGAATCTTTCTCATTCTTTCTTCTTTATATTTCCTTTTTTCCCTTCAATTACTTTATCTCTTAGAATTCTTTCTCTCCAAAGATATTGTCTGTTTTCCATCACTTTGGCACCACTCCATGCATCTGTCTCACCAAACCATCTTCCTTCGCAAACACAAGTGTTTACCTTGTTGACATTGTACATAATACCTATATCAGCGGAAAAATGATAAAAGATTACCCACCATCAGAACTTGGAGACTACAACAAATTTAAGAATCCATAATATTACTCGATGAAAGTGTGCAATCCACCAACATTCCTATATCTCACAGTTCACTTAAAAAAACAGCATCCCTATATCTCACAGTTAATTTGATCTCTGTTGTTACATCACAACCCGCAATTAATTACATGGTTGCACACCCAATATGTGATGACACCACTTACCAACCTTGAGTCTTGGATGAACTTCATTATGGCCTACTGTCTCACTTAAATCTTTCCCTCCTTGTATACATGATAGATAAAGTCTATTTTGGTTTTTTTTTTCTTTTTTCGAAATATCCTTCACAAATTACGGTTATACTTAATATCCACCGAAGAGAACAAAGAATGGTAATATTGCAATCACAAATCCCAACAGAATGTACTATTATAACAACTGAATACTCTAACCCAAACTGTTTTTTTAAACTCTTAGTTGCATTCCACACTGTGAAAATCATAAATTATTGTAACTTCTTAATCATTTTCTTTATTTACTAGCTGAAACTCAAGCACTCACTTTGCCTTGAACCATCCATCTTATAGGAAGTACCACCAGGCTACGCCACATGGTACAGTAACTTCTACCACAATGCACTATTAGAATAACCATATACTCTAGTCCAAATTCAAGAATCATTTTTTTTATAAATTAGTAAGTCAACAAGTTCAAAACAATTAAAACATGACATTAAGAACCTCCAGACTCGCATACCTCTTCCATTTCTCGAAGAATCACGTTGCGCTCACGATTAATTCGATCCTCCTCAAACACAGAATTCTGCAATATATCCGCAAGAATGTCAAGCGCCTTCGGCGCATCCTTGTCCATGACCTTGGCGTAATAGGTCGTCTGTTCCCTCGAAGTGTACGCGTTCAAATGCCCTCCCATGTTCTCAATTTCCTCCTCCAAAACCCTAACCGGCCTCTTCTCAGTCCCCTTAAAAATCATGTGCTCCAGAAAATGCGCCACCCCATTGGTGTCGTCGGTCTCAAACCGACTCCCGGCGTCGATCCAGACCCCGACGGTGGCGGTGTGGCCGGCGAGATTGGACTCGGTGGCGACTCGGAGGCCGTTCGGGAGAGTAGTAATTCGAGTCTGGGGTGATGACAGTATGGATGTGTGATCGGCGAGGACGGGCTTCGGTGAGGCGTACCGGAGGAACCGATGGTCGGGGTTCTCGAGGCGTTTGACCTTTGATTTGACGGATCCGGCGAGGCGGTCGTAGATCATGGCGTCAGGGGGAGGCGGAGACGGCGGTGCGGCGGGAGCATCGGCGGTGGCGAGAGCTTGGGAGGCGGATCGGGAGGGTTGGGTGAGAAAGGGCGGAGTAAGTGATACTGACGGTTTTCGAGAGCAGCGAGAGAGGTTGAGGAGATGGCGAGTCGCCATGGGCTAGGGTTTGTGATCGTATGCTGTTTGAATTTCGCAATTTAGCTGCAGATTGTGTGTATAGAGACTAGAGAGAGACAGCAGTGGAGATGATGGTGGGAAGAGAGGGACAGAGAGAGAATTGGTTCCTCTGCAATGGTTTAATGCCACGTGATTCATAGGTTTGTCACCCTCCCAACAGAATGCGGTCAATGGACTCAATGGGAAAAAAAAAAAAAAAAATCAATAATAAACATATGGAATACATGATAAATTCTTCATGGGCCTGGGCCGTTAGCAACGACAACTTATTCATGGACCAAAGTGGGCCTGGGCTATAGCACATGCCATGGTGTTGTGGGAGTTTTGTGTGGGACTCGATAATATTTTATCGTTCTAATTTTGAGTCCGTTTGAGCCCCCAATGAATACGCTGACAAGCTCAATAGATCCAAGGTGCTCTATGATAAGAAAATTTTAAGACCTGAATTTTGAGTGTGTAAATTTTCAGAAGTAATGTATATCCCATTTTAAGTAGTGCTTATAGTTTTTAATTTTTAATTTTATTATCAAATGTACTTAAGTGAATAATAGTTTAATACATTAAGAATTAAGTGCTGGATTGAGTAACTGTATTAAAAAGTTCCATCATTGATGTAATCGAGAAAATATTGACTAATACATCCGTCGATCAAATTTAAAAATGACAAATGTGGAAAATGTGAGAGGAGGCGCGACCTTCATTACATAACATCACCATGACTTCGGTAGTGGGACTCACAAAATCTTTAGAATTCGAAGAATGTATATTTTATTCATAATGTTTTTTTTTCAAGTGCGAAAATGATTCTAATCACCACAGGGCATTCATCCTAGCGGCATAACCTTCTTATTCTCCAAAAGGAGAGGAGGAATTTGAGTCCGGATGTGAACAAAAGAGTGTGTATTTGTTTATCATTTGGAAAAGAAAAAAAAAAAAAATATATATATATATATATATATATATATATATATATATATGATTCTAATCTTTTCAAAAGAATCATAATCAATTTCTAATCACTCTAATATAATTAAAATTGTGTCCTCGAAGCAGTAGAAAAACTCATGCAATTTCATAGATGCACTTGGACTTTAGCTTTAATGTCGGCATGATTTTAATATCCTTGTAGCCAAAGTCTTCGTTTTCAAAGATTACAAAAAAGTTTGTTTTTGGGTAGGTACATTGGAGTCAAAGAGCAAAGATGATCACTCAAACTTTGTTGGGTTAGGCTAGCCGACCAAACAAACAAATCCACAAAACAAATAAACTTTATTTTGAATAGCTCCTTGTTTGGATCCACCCAAACTTATTACTATTCCGACTTGGTTTATTTATCTCTGCACTCATCTTAGACAGTGACATGCAAGTTTTGAAAAATAAATCTCAAAATTCATGATAAATAATTCTTAAGAACTTTTTATTATATTTTACTTTACTTTGCTACTTTATTAATCGATAATAAAGGGAGAGAGAGAGTCGGTACAAAGCTTGAAGACGGCCCGAATAAAAATTTGAGCCTAACATTTGAGTGAGACTAGCAGAACCACGCAACTGGTTTGACTTAGTGAAAGGAAGTGTTTGGCAATGCTGCATAAACTGTGTTTGTTAAATGAGAAACATAATATGAATTCCAGGGAATATTTTTTATTTTTCCAGTGTTTGGTAAGGAGTAAATGGGTACATTTCAGAAGCAATTACTGCACAGTCTGGAGAAGGGCCTCCTCAACTACCTTCATTTTCATTTGGGTAAAAATCAAACTAATATTTGCCAATTACTTTTATATATATATATATATATAGACCTTAGCTACTCTAATTTTTTGTTCTTCCTCGTTCTTGTTGTCATGAAGTTGTCACTTCCTTTAAATGACTCCATTTATGATAAGATCATTTTATAAGAAACTACTCGGATTAATTTCATAAAATCTCTATTATTTTTAAATTTTGATTATAAAATCCTAACTTATTTTTTAAAATTTCTTATACTTTAAAAAGTAATCAAATTACTCCAATATTCGTGTCTAACCCATTAACCCGAATGTGAAATGACAAACCTTACTATTTAATAATAAATTTAAAACTAAAAATTATTATTTTTAAATTACAAAAATAATTTAGAAAAAGGAGGTAGAGAGAGTGTGATACCCCTCGATTCTAGAGTCACGAGTGATCAAGTCCGAACACAGATTCGAGAAATACCAAACAATTAATATGTAATTGAACACGGAATACAAAAAATGAATTAATAAATAAAATGATAAAAGCTGAAAAGAATTCTAAATATGAAAATCCTCAAAAATTATAGATTAATATAATTTAAACTTTCCAATATCCGTACAACTTGGGAATCCATCTAGTGGACCCTTAATAACCCCATATAAAAGTACAATACAAAACCAAAATCAAAAACTAAAATAAGAACAGAAATCCTACGTAGTCGGAGGAGTAAGTGATTGTATCTGCTCAGCATGATCAAACTCTAAGCTTGAAGCTGGCGAACACCTAGAAAAAAAAGAGTGGGTCAGGCCCACTAGTAAGTTTCATCCCACTACAATCTATACAGAAACCCGATACGTAAATACATCCTAGATAGCTCAGCAATAACTAAAGTAGTCCATATAGATATAAATATACACTATAAGACATTCACGAGCCTATAGTGTAGTCTCAGCCTGAATAGAAGGTACCATGTAAACCACACATCACGGTGTGCATGTATACCTAAACCTACCAGGGAACATCAATTATATCTAGTTACTCATCCTAGGCGATATACGCACCCTAATCATGATCCTGAGACTCAAGCTCATATCACGGTACTATAATCATATATATAAATCCTTCCTAATACAGAATATAAAACAAACATCCAATATGTCGTTCAACTGTTTTAGTTGACAATACATGAATCCATGTAGGATTTAACTCTGTTAGTTAATCCATTCCATATATAAGAATAAGTAGGAATTAGTATTTTGATCTAATCCATCTCTAATATGCCACCGTCTGGTGCATATAATGCATATGATCCATAAATGATGCAACACTCATCTAAACATCAAATGTATCCAGAAACAATCATAATAGAAGTCAGATATATGCAAGATACTATTATGTATCCAGTATATGATTATAATCATACAACCTCCGTTTAAATTGCTAGAGTAAAAATAAACAATTTAAATCATCCATATCCATATAATTGACAAAACAGAAATTATAATAGTTCATCAATTAACATCCATAACATGATATAATGATAATCAGAATTATAAACTGAGCACATTATACTTAAATTCCAAAATTATGTTCACACTAGTCCATTTAATTTGCTAAACAATAACTAGCAATTAAATCTTTCACAATCCTTGACAGCATGCAAATTTATATTTAAATTTCATGACGTCCATTTAATCCTCAATTATAAATCCAATGCATGATATAATAATACTCAGAAGTATAAACCGAGCACATTATATGAAATCCCAAAAGTACTTTCATACTAGTCCATTTAATCTGCTCAAACAAAACTAGCAACTAAAACTTCCACAACTTCTAACAGCATACAATTTGGTATTTAAATTTCATGATGCCAATTACCATAGCATAAACCAATAATCCTGGGTCTTTAATATGTTTTATTCATCATTTAAAAACCCCCAAACAAGTTTCAGAATTACACTTTAGCCCCTACAGTCTGAAAATACCCAAAAATACACCCGTAGGGTTGTTCCAGCAAAGGAGTCACCTCTAGAGCCGGCTCTCCCTCATGGAGAGTCAGCTCTTTCACCTAGGGAGCCGGCTCTCTCCCTAAGAGCCGTGCTACGCTCCTCCTGTTCATCTTCTTCGCCTCCGGCGAAGTTCAAAGCCCTTGTATTGATTTTTATTAAAATTTTTAGGGTTCAATCTAAGACCCAAAAGTTTCAGAAACTCCTTAAATTCCAATATGAATTGCTAACAAAATTTAAAACATAATTTATAACAATTTATGCACAAAACAGTTTCAGATAAACAAAACATACAATAGTTTACAGTTTTATTTAACATGCATAAAACATCCATTTTAAAGTTTAATTTAACTCCTAAAGACTATATAACATGCACAGAACACAGGTTTAAGGGAAGGAGTTAGAATAAAACTTGTCTTCGGTTTCAGTTTTGAAACCTTAAACCACCGTTAAACCACTGTCTTTGAGTTCCAGCAAATCCCAAGATTGTTCTCCTCCTCTGTTCACTGTTCTCCTCCTCTGTTGCCTCTTGGTTCAACCCACGAGCAACACCCTTTCTTTACTCCTTGAGCCTCTCTGTTTTTCTCTCAAGCCTCTCTCTGTTTTCTCTCCAATTTCTCTCTATACGTGAATAGGTTTTCCCATTGTAGACCGACGTTCTGTTCTTTATATAGGCTTTAACTAAAAACCTAATTCCACTTATATTAAGTGACGGCAACCTACACTAAATAAAACTAGTCGGCCACCCTAATTACATAACATAAAACCCTAAACTATATACGACATATATAATTTATAAACAACTAATCCACCTAAGCATACATGGAATTAAAACAAATAAATCATATAAGCAATTAAATAAAACAAAAACAATTAACCAATTAATTTAATTAAATAACCAATTAACCAAATAATGCAATTAAATACACAATTAAACAATTAAATCAAATAAATACTAAAACAATTAAGCAAATAAGCAAATAATTAAACAAAAATGCAATAAAACAATAATTAAAATGCCGAGACTATCCTTTTAAAATTAAGAGTATTATAGAGAGGGGGAGATGGTAAAGAAAATAATTAAAGGGTATTTTTGTAATTAAAAATTATATTTTTATTTTTAAATTTAACATTAAATAGTAAGTTTAAATTTGTCATTTCACAGCCAAGTTAACAGACACGGATATTGGGTCAATTTGATCAATTTTTATAGTATAAGGAGTTTTCTAAAATAGGATGGACATTTATAATAAAAAATTGAAAGTAGTAAGAGTTTTATGAAATTAGACCTATATACAAATATATAGTACTAATTTTGTCATACGGTCCAACTTAAAAAAATTCCATTTAGGTTATCTACAACTGTTTCATAATGGGCTAAATTTTAATATTGGCACTCATAAAAGTG